GAGAGGTGAGGAAGTAGATAAGATCCACTTGAAATCAGGCCAACCGTTCTCGTTCCTCTTTGCATTGCTTTCAGCCACCTGGTTTAGTAGGTTGTGTTTTTTCAAGCCTTTTTAAAGTTCGGGAGGACTCTGTAGCCCATGTCTGGTACTCGCTTCCAACCATGCTTTCCTGCATCCCTTAATAGCACAATTAACCAAAGAGTGACTTGGAAAAGGAACTGATACACCAATAGAAAGTTGGGCTATTTCCCACCTTCATTAGGTTGTACTGCTTTGCTCTCTGATATGATTGTTTGCTTGGCGAGTGGGCAAGGGAAGGTAATTAAAGCTTGCATAGGCTGTGGGGAGCTTCTCTCCTGGCAAGAGTTGGCATGATGGATTGAGCACTCAAGCGGGCATAAAGTACTCTGGGTTTTCCTCTCACCTGCTGTGTGATCTTAGGCATAGAATTACTTCACTAATTAATAAATGTTAATGTTATTTAATGATTATTATGTAATGTTTGAGTCGTGGGGATTTCAAGATTCGTTGTAGCACATCATAAAGAAGAACTTCCCATCTGGTGTGCATTCACAAGGACTTCTGGGTATCACGAAGTGCTCTTATAGGCCCCTCTTGAGTTATCAGGGAAATTGAAACTATATTTGGGAAGTATGATTTTTGAAAAACTACTACTTTTTTTCTTTTTAACAATTGAGTTCATTTCTTTTTGAGATCAAAAGAAGTTTACTACTAAACAGTTCTAGTTGTGGAACAAAATATTTCTTTGTATGCTGTTAGGGTTATATATAATTGACCCTTTTCAAAAATTATTTTAACTATGAGGAATTTCTTAAAACTCTGAGCTTTTTATTGTTATGTGAAAACTGAAAAGTAGGAAAATTGTTATGAGGAATTACCTCTTGGCTCCAGAATCCAAATTGCCTTTTTTTTTTTTTTTTAAGTTTAAATTTTAAAACATATGTCCCTTGTGGAAAATCGTCCGGTTAGCCATTTATACCACTACCCTAAGACATCTTTGTTGGTAGTTGGTGTATTTCCTTCTGGTGTTTCAGTACAACCTCGGGTGTTGAGATAAACTTTTTTGTACTTTCTGTACAGTTTTATATCCTGTTCATTCAGTGTTGTTGCAACATTAGCATTTCCTGGAGGAGGTGATTTTCTCAGAGAACTGTCAAGGTCTTGTTCTAGAAAATGGATCTGATTTTTAAAAATTAAGTAGAAGATTCTTTCTTGCGTGTATTTTTTTAATAAACAGAAAAAGTGGTGGTACTGAATGGTAAATGCAACAAGTATGGGTGAATCCTAGCATGTTGTTGCCACATTGAGCAGTGTTATGTATCATGTTATTGCTGTCCCATGTCTGGAATATTAAACTTCTTCCTCACATTTACAATTTGTTTTATAAGGGAAGAGGTTTTAATTTTTTTTATTCTCATCTGAGGACATTTCTTCACTGTGTTTAGATAGACGGGGAAAGAGAGAAACATCAAAGCGAGAGACGAGCATTGATTGGTTGCCTCCCATACTTGTTCTGATGCATCATATGCGCCTGGACTGGGGACTGAACCCACAGCCTTTTGGTTACAGGACAACACGTCAGCCAACTGAGCCACACTGGCCAGGGCAAGGGAAGAAATTTTTAATTATTTTTAATTAAAAAAGATTTTTAAAAGAAATGCTAGCCTCCACTCTGAAACCTGTATTATTTTAAAGAAAGGGCTGTAATTCTCATACAGACTTTTGAGAGTGATGGATACTTTCTTAAGATAACAAAACAGAATAGCTTATAAGTATTATATGCACATGCATAAGTATAAGATACACATATATCCAAAAATGCTTATTGGACATATGGCTAAGTTTTTTTTCTCATATCTCTAGGATGAAGCATTTAAATAAAATGTTTATTTTTATGACTTCTAAGATCTAGCTTTAAATTATTTTGGTGATAAGTCTAATTGAAAAACTTGATATAAAAAGAAATTAATTTATTTGTGAGCAGTGGCAAGAAAGGGCAGCTTATAAAATAAAGTGATAACTTAGTTCTTTTTTAAAAATCTCTTCTAATTTTGTGCACTAGTTTATTTTTATAGCTTATATGCAAGGAAGAGTTAACATTTATTGTCTAAATTAGGCAGGTGTTCTTTTGGACATTGGATTTAGGCTATTATAAATTATCTTAGATTAATCTGAATAGATATTTAATCTGAAAAAGTGTTTTTAAATATTGGGGTGGTTTATGTTGTTGTAACTAATTTTGGCTCTTTTGGAAGTTTTAAGTGACGCACTTAGAAAATGTTAGCAAGAAATTTGAAACTCTGCATTCGTTTGGAGTCTACATAATTTGACCTGTCTACAGAGCAAAGGAAAATAGCTTATTTCTCTGAGTATAAGTAAATGCTGTCTTGCTCCTTGCGAACTAGACAAAAAGGTGTGAGTGGTAGCACCTTAAGTGTGCTTTAGTGGTAAAGACGGTGACATTACCCTTATTAAAAGCATGTGAGTCACATCAGTACTTTACAGTGCTTTTTCCAAGTAAAAATTAATAGAGAACATCATTAAACAAAAAGTAGGTCATCTCAAAGATAAGAAACAATAAAATAGGTCCTTTGTGAAGACCAGGCAGTGCTGGGAGGGCAGGGACTGAAAGGAGCAGTGAAACAGCTCCGGGGCAGGCTCTGAGAGCCAGGAGGAGGGTGTGATGCCTACCCTGCGTGTAAGCAGCCTCTGTTATATTTTATTTTGAAGTTAAAATTAAGGGGAGGAGAAAGACATGGAACCCATTATAGAGGTGGTGTATTTCAAATACTTGAAGTAGGATGATTTCGAGATCTTTTCACTTTAGAGTCATTTTCAAAGCTATGAACAAATTCTTTAAATATGATTAGGCCTGGTTTTATTGTCTTTAATGAATTAAGTATGATTTTATAATCTTAGATTTCAGATAGTGTGAGCACAATGGTATTGTGTTGTATTTCATATTTTCATGTGAATATGTGAAGAGACAATAGAGAAAGGACAAATAGGAAGGGAAATTGAGTCTTCAATTTACCTTGGTTATCAGCTACTTCCGTAAATTGAAATGAAGAGTCTTGATTCATTAACCAATTTTAACCCTAAACTTTTTTCATTTTGTACCTTATTTCTACTTGGCATTTGATTCTTTCTGTAAAACTTATATAAGTGAATGCTAGATGGAAAAGCTTACACTACACAAAGTCTATGTATAAAATATTGCCCCAAAGGATCCTTATTTAGATAAGGCTTCACGAAGATATTTGCAGGGCTTAAATGACTAGTGTATGCAAATGTGAATTACTGATTTAAAAAAAACTTATAGATCACTTTTAAAGGCAAGTTAGTAAGTTTCCTATTGAATAGATTTCTCCAAACAGGCCGAATGAAGCTTGCTTAATGAGTATTTAGAAAACACTTTGATCTGGCTTATTTGGGGGATTATAAAACTGATGAAAATTAAAGGCATATTACAGACAGATAAATACCTTATGACAATAGATGCAGTCCAACATGTCAGTACAGTTCACAATTATAATTAATTCTAGGGTAAACAGATTTCTAGTTTTCTCTCCCGTCTCTTGATATTTTTTTCACTGAAATATTTCAACCTTGCAGGTAGGACTTAATATGCATGGAAAGTATGTAAGCCACTTTAAATTATTGAACTTAGCCATTTTAGAAAACAAACCTCTAGTAGTTTGCTAGTACTTCAGGGAATATTTTGCTGTTAAATTTTTAAAACACTTCTCTCTTTTCCAACTACATTTTTGTTTAAGGCCAGGTTTTCATCATTTACTTCAACCAAAGCAAGCTAAAGTAGCAGTTCAAATGCAGAAGCAGATGAGTGTTTCACTGTCTTTTATTAAGATACACTAAAGTATGTTCACAGGTAATTGGTTTTCCATTGATATTTTTAAATGAATTAATAAATAGTTATTTAAATTTCTCAATTTTACTTTCGACTATGGTAAATATTAATAGCTATAACCTTCATGAACAAAGTCGGTTTGGGATCCTGAAGATGTGAAAAGGGATCCTGAGACCAGAGATTGTGAGAACTGTGCTTGTTTCGGCAGCACCTATACTAAAATCAGAACAATATGGAGAAGATTAGCATGAAAAACATTGTGAGAACTGCTACTTATTTAAGGCCTTGTGACTGAAAGCGTGGTTGGCCCCAGAAGCTGCCTGAAACCGCTTCCACACTTCAACTGCTTCTCCCGTGTACTAAGGAATGACTGCCATCAGGAACCTTGTGGAAGCAGTTTCAGGCAGGGGAAGTGCATGATAGTAGAAATCCAATAGGAAAGTGAAAACAGGAAGAGGGCACTTGGAGACCCAAGACCTAGAGGCTTCATTCCACAGATGGTTTCCTCTTATGTATCCTCTGCTCAAGTATTGCCTTTTGGGAATGTATTCTCATACAGTTTAGATGTTGGAAATTACCTGAGGGCCTCCAGGTTGGAGGATCTGGCCTCAGAGAGAGTAGGCCGGTCACTCAGGAAAAGAAGACCCATTGGAGATGGGAAGTCTGTAGCATCATTCAATGTCTGCCTTAGCAAGCTGTGTCTTCAGGCACATGCCTGTTCCTGGTAGACTTTTTATATAGTGTTCTCACCTCCTCTCAGGTTTGTTCTCGTCTCTGAAGATAACCACCATTGGTATAAACTTCAGGTAGAAAAATGTAGACAAAAAGAATCCCACTTAAATTTTAGTTGTTATCAAAAGTATTAATGTAATCCTGTCCAAGTAGACGATCACATGGGGGTATCACTTATTAAAGCAGTTGTGAAATTAACCAGGCTGTGGCACTTTGCGGCAGAGGCAGACATTTTATACGTTTTTAGTGGGGCTGAGCTGTTCAGTCTGGAGCAAACTATGTTTGGACTAAGTGAACAACCAGACAGTTTAATGTAAACTGTTGTAACAAAGGCTTCCATTTCTAAGCCTTAATAACTTTGTTTTCTTCTTGCTTTTAGGGTGAATCTGTAAAATATTTCCTGGATAACTTGGATAAACTTGGAGAACCAGTAAGTTTTTTTTAACTGAGTATTTAGTGCCATTTGAAAGCAATAGTCAGGATATTGATGTTAGGAATTTAGAAAAATTATATATCAAGCTGTTTGCTTCTTTCTGTCTCCTAGTGGCAGTATTCTGACTATTCCTGCTCCAGTTTTTCTCCCTCTACTGTCCAGATCTCTGACATTTCTTTAAGGAATGCACTATCCACTGCTTAATGAAAGTAAAATTGTTTAGAGAAAGAAGTTTATGTTTGAAAATGAGATTGCACATTATATGTTCTACTTCACTGTCTTTTGGGTTTTATGTAAGCAGAAACAGAAACAACACAGTGGATAATTGATTTACAAACCTTTCAAAAAACGGTCTTTTCTAGTTTGGGGCCTCTGTGTTATACAGGGTAGGAGGGCTAGATTCTGAAGGCCTGGTGAAGGGATTCCGTGCTGGAGAAGAAGGGGTTGTCCTCGGAAAGAAAGTTTGTGATTTTTGTGCCGTGTATCCCTCAGAGCCAGCATCTCTCAGCTGGTACTGGTTCCCTGAGCCTGCTGTGGGCAGAGCAGCTGCACCAGCTGCTTTCTGTGTTGAACGCATGCAGAAAATGCCATTGGAAGAAAGGTTTCTTCTGCCTGGAAAATGTTTGGAAGCCTAAGCCCTAGAGTCATTTGCTAGCTGCTCAATTTAGTGTATTTTCATTTGCTTCCTCTTAGCAAATTTCTGTTATAAATTTTAATATGATCTCATGGGTTCTATGAAATATTTAACTTGAAAAACATAACTGAAGGAAACCACAAAATGAATCCCATTACAAGTAGGAAAGTAACATACCAATAAATCTAGGACACGTGAAAAAGTACCCTCTTTTTGCTCTAGCAGGATAATTTTTGTATTTTCCCTTGTTTTCTATCTGTTTTGCTAAATTACATGTATCTGCCCTTCAAACCAATGGTTTTCTCCTGCCTGTTTCCTATACACGGGCATTCCAGAATTTGGGATCTCGGTCTTTATCTAACTCAGTGCATGCACATCAGTGAAGCTTTTATTACGACTGATTATTTCATTGTCACTTTCTCATCTGGTCAGATTATAAGCCTTTAAATAAGTTAAGGGAAGCCGTAGTAAGTAAACTGATTTTTTAAAGTTATTTCATGTTTTCTAATCCAGACACTGACTTGCTCTTCCTAATTTGCCTTTTCATATAGGCCTTTTGAGCATAGCATTTAAAGTAGGTCCCTTCCTCTTGTTTTCAGTATTAACCCTTGCTTTTTTCAAACTTCATTGCTGTTATTATAGTTGGTTTATTTATTTATATGTTTACAGGTCCTTCACCAACCTCTTTCTATAAGGGCAAGGTCCTCATCTCTTGATTGTGGAGAGTTGAGTTCTTGATGCCTAATTGTTCCTAACACATACAAGACAACAAATGTCTCAATGAATGACAGTAGGCCAGCTCCAGTGAATTTTGTACTAGCTGCTTAGTATCTTATGTTGAGGACAATTCTGAGGCCACATAATGGAATAAAAAGGAAAAAGTGCTATAACCATTTGGCAGTTAGAAAGGAGGGAAGAATAAACCCGAGCATGCTATACATTGGCCACCCATTCTGTGCATATTCGATAGTTAACAGGATTGCATTTGCTTCTGCATCTCTGGCCAAAGTACCAGGGCCGTTGAAGTTCTTCATGCCAGGCCCCCTGACCCTCTGCTGGGTGAAATAGCATGTGGGGCGAGGACATTGGTTCTGCAGACAGACTACTTGGGTTCCTGGCCCTGTGACCTTTTGGCATCTCTGGGCCACACTGGAAGAAGAAGAGTTGTCTTGGACCACATGTTAAACACATTGTGACATATAATCACAAAAAAATTTCATAACATTTTAAGTAAGTTTATGATTTTGTGTTGGGCTGTTCACAGCCATTCTGGGCCATGATTCGGATACCCCTGTGCATTTGTAAACCTCTTGGTTTTTATTTTATTTATTATTTTTTATCAATATCATAGGTGGCATAGTAAGAGAACTGTCCTCATAGAGATATGGGATGATTACACAAAATAAACCCCATGTCTTAGTCTGCTGAAGCTACCGTAACAAAATACCACTGATTGGGTGGCTTAAATAACAGACATTTGTTTCTCACAGTACTGGAGGCTTGAAGTCCAAGATCAAGGTGCTATCTAACACAGTCGATTTTTCTTGATGAGGTATCTCTTCCTGGCTTGCAGAACATGTGGCCTTCTCACCCTTGACATGGCTTTTGCTCAGCGCACACACATGGAGAGAGACAGAGAAAAATTGTTACTCTTTTTTTTTGTACTTCGGTTTCACTTATTTATTTTTTTATTTTATTGATTATGCCATTACAGTTGTTCTATTCCCCCCTTCATTCCCCTCCATCCTGCACACCCCACCCCCACCATTCCCCCCTTTAGTTCATGTCCATGTATCTCAAGTTCTTTAGATTCTGTATTTCCCATACTATTCTTGCCCTCCCCCCTATCTATTTTCTACCTACCGTCTATGCTACTTATTCTCTGTACCTTCTCCCCCCTTCTCCTTCTCCCACTCCCCTGTTACTAACCCTCCATGAGATCTTCATTTCTATATTTCCACTCCTGATGTAGCTGTCCTTTTAGTTTGCTTTTGTTTTAGATGTGGTTGTTAATAACTGAGTTTCCTGTCCTTTCACTGTTCATCTTTTTTATCTTCTTTTTCTTAGATAAGTCCCTTTAACATTTCATATAATAAGGGCTTGGTGATGATGAACTCCTTAAATTTGATCTTATCTGAGAAGCACTTTATCTCTCCTTCCATTCTAAATGAAAATTTTGCTGGGTAGAGTAATCTTGGTTGTAGGTCTTTGGATTTCATGACTTGGAATACTTCTTTCCAGCCCCTTCTTGCCTGTAAGGTCTCTTTTGAGAAATCAGCTGACAGTCTGATGGGAACTCCTTTGTAAGTGACTGTCCCCTTATCTCTTGCTGCTTCTAGGATTCTCTCCTTCATTTTAATCTTGGCTAATATAATTATGATGTGCCTTGGTGTGTTCCTTCTTGGGTCCAACTTCTTTGGGACTCTCTGAGCTTCCTGGATTTCCTGGAAGTCTATTTCCTTTGCCAGAATGGGGAAGTCCTCTTTTATTACTTGTTCAAATAAAGTTTCCACTGGTAGCTGTTCCTCTTCCCCTTCTGGTACCCCTATAATTTGGATGTTGGAGCGTTTAATGATGTCCTGGAGGTTCCTAAGTCTCTCCTCATTTTTTTGAATTCTTGTTTCTTCTTTGTTTTCTGTTTGGTCATTTTTTCCTTCCTTCTGGTTCACTCCCTTGATTTGAGACCCAGTTTCCTTTCCATCACTATTGGTTTCCTGTGCAATTCCCTTCATTTCAATTAGTTTAGCCTTCATATGTTCCTCTAATTTGTGACTAAAATCAACCAGTTCTGTGAGCATCCTGATGACCAGTGTTTTGAACTGTGCATCTGAAAGTTTTGTTATTTCTTTGTTGCTTAGAGTTATGGGCTCTGGGGCTTTGAGATCTTCTTGAGCCATATTTGGTCTGTTTGTGCCTGTTAAGTATGAGGAGCGGAGCCTTAGGGGCGGGGAGGGGCCACCAGGGCAAGGTCCCTGGTTTGTGACGCTGTATGTGGGGGCAGGGTCAGAGCAGGGAAATGGCGGTCCTCTCTGCTGCCGCCTGACGCTGGGGCCCATCTCACTGCCCACTCCCTCACCGGTCTATCTGCACATGAATGCGGCACCACAGTCATCGCGCAGCCCAGCACCCTCGCTGGATCCGCGAGTCACTCACTGGGTCACTCACTGGGTACGTCCTCTGCAACCCCACGCCTGGGATTCGTGCGCCTGAGTCCGTCTGACCGAGTTTTCCTGTGCAACCCCGCTCTGCCAGCTGCTGGTTTCGCCCCTCTTACCGGTCAGGCTGAAGCATTCGTTGTTATCAGACTTCCAAAAAGTTTAATTTCTTGTGTTCTGGCTGTGTTTTCTGTTGCTAATATTTTGTTGTCTCTAAACTTGGTTGTGTGAGAAAGCACGGTATCTCCACCTGTGCCTCCATCTTGGCGGAATATTATTCTTATAAGGCTGCAAATACTCTGATTAAGAAGGACCTCACCCATATGACCTCGTTTAAGCCTTAGTTACTTTCAGAAAGCCTTATCCCCAAATATAATCACATGACCTGTTAGGGCTTCAACATAAGAATTCGAGGGGGTATACACAATTCAGTCCATTGCACCCAGTAATGCACTCAGAATAGTGTGTAATGAATGCTCAATGTTAGCTGTTTTGTTCTTTGATCTGTATATTTAAGAAACTCGTTCTAGTCAAAGACTAGAGAAATGTTTCAGGTAGAAAAGTTGGAGCCAGCCCAAAAGAGTAGGTGAAAAAGGGGTTGGATTTAGATATGGAGAGTGGAGGTGCAGCCTTCGGAGATGGAAACAGCTAGGTGTGTTTAGTTTTAGGAGGCACGTCTGTCCAACAAAGGATGTGTGGTGTTCTTGGATCTGACTCATGAAAACAGATTTCTAGAAGGCAGGAACTTGGGTGTGCCTGCATTGTTCGTTGCACTTGTACTGTAGTGCAAGTCTTTGGGCAGGTAATGGTATTACACATGAAGATTTGCTTAGGTCTTGGTGTCAGGCTCCATGGTGGTTCTGGGCAATGTAGAACAGTCTGCTAGTTCTAGAAAATGAGTAAGGAGGGTCACGAAAGCCAGTAGGCAGAGTCTGGGCCTGATGGAGTCAGGAGCTGCCCTGTAAGTTCTGAAGTCATGATGCCAGAGGGGTCTGTCTGGGAGGGGCTCAGAGATGGAGCCAAGAAGTGGAAGCCATTCAAGACAGAGAAACCAGTGAAAAGATGGTAATTCTGTGCCTGAGGGGGAAAAAGTGGGACAGTGGAAATGAGGAAAGGGAAAGTATAAGACAGATTCAGAAAAGGAACAGCAGGATAGGAGATAATGGAGAAGAGCTAGGGTGCTTGAGAGGCTTCAAGAACGCTGAAGGCATTGGTGGGACAGGAAGTTGGAAGGAAAACATACTGGCTGGACTTAGAGGAGTTGGTAAGGAAGAAAAGGAATTTTCTTATTGACTGCCTTTTATTTGTGAATAACCCGTCAAGTGTAAATGAATGGTGAGCATTTAAAAATGAGACTGGAGAGACTTGAGTGGAAGTTTACCTGCCCATCACAGCCTTTTCCCTCTTCCTCTCTACAGCAGTGTGTGTAGAGAGCTGGCGGACACAGTAGGAACCACTAGACCAGTAACACGTAACATATGTGCCAGACACAGCTCTTAAGCACTTCACCCATTTAACTCATTTAGTGCTCATAGCACCCTTATGAATGTTACTGTATTTTACAAGTGAGGAAATTGAGACAGAGGTTAAGTGACTTGTCCAAGATCATACAGCCAGTATTAAAGAGCTGACTCTAGAATTCCCAGTCCTAACCACTATCACTGCCAGATCATTTAGTATTTGATTACATTGTCCTGTGCTTTATGGTTTATATGAATTAGCCTACTTTGAACTAGATTGTTAGCTTCTAATTAAAGCAATGATAAAGAAGGTTTTATTTTATGGAATAAGAAAAAGTTGTTTTTTTTTTTTAAAGAACAGCTCAGTGTTGGCGTGTTTCCGAGGCAGCTGACACACAGGCATTGTGAATTGGTACCACCTTTCTAGAAAGCAATTGGGTACTAAGTGTCCAGGGTTGTTAAAATGTTTATAACCTTTGACTTCATAAGCTTATCTCTGGTTATTTACTCTCAGGAAATAGTTTAAAAGGAAAAGAAAAAGTGTTTGCATAAGAATTTAATTGCTGAACTTTTTTTAATTAAAGCAAAAATTTGGAAACATCCAAAATGACCACTAGTAGAAGAATGTTTATGTAAATCATGTCATATTAATCCATTTGATGTAAAGTAGGTAGGTATGTGAACAAAAGCTAGAAGAAAACATAGAAATGCCAACACATTTATTAGAGTCCCAGAGTTACTTAGTAAGTGGCTGTGGATTATAGATACACCATCGCTGAGAACTGCCTTCCTTTTTCCTTAACTAAAGTGCACCATTTTCAGACATAAGTATTCTTGAGATGACATTTCAAAATCGTATTATACTATTTGGAAAGGCATAAAGTGCAGCATTGCAGATAACAGCATTCTTTTAAAATTTTGCCTTGATTTTTAAAATATTTTGACCTTGATAATGAGCTCTTCTCTAATGAGCTCATCATGATTAAAAGCTCTTCTTTTCAGTATTGCCCAAAGTTGTGGAAAAATACTAGCCCGAGAAGAGAAAGGACAGCTTGACTACATGATGAAGTGCACTGTCAGGGGCTGTCCCATGACTCGTGAGACCAGCAGCTTCTGTCTATTCAGGGTCTAGTAGTTAGTTGACTGATCCTGTTCACAGAGGACTCATTTGATCTTTGCGTAAACTGTCCCTCAGAGGCAGGTAGACCTGCTATGGTCACCATCATTTCACAGGCAAACGTGCTGACAGAGTAAAAGACTACTTGTGTCAATAGATGAGATAGCTGGAACATGGCTTCACAGTACCCTGGAAACCAACTTCGGAAGTGGCCCAAAGTAAATGCAGTTAATTATAGTAAAGGAGGTGTTTTCCAGGCACATAGCATAGCAGCAATGACAACGTGGAGTAATCAGTATAGAAGTTTTTAGTCATAAAGCCAGTAAAGGAATGTTTAGAATGGGCTACAGAGAGGCAGAACCTTGAGCTGGGAAGTGATTCTCATGAACTGACATTTCAGGTCAGCAGGTGGGTATGTGAATAGTGAGGCCACTTGGGCTGAAGCTGAGAGTGGTAGGCCAGAGTATGAGGACAGCTGGTAGGTAAGGCCTCAGCTTGAATAGTACTGCCGGAGGGAAAAAACAGTGCTCATTTGTAGTGAATTTTGAGCCAGTCTTTGTACACTAACATTTTAATATTTTTTGGCATTTTATAATGGAAATAATAATAGTATTGGTGCTTTAATGTTATCGGGAGGTGTCGTTTTAAAAAGTAATTTTGCATATCCATTCACTAGACCCTTTAGTAGTACATTAAAAATTTTAATTACTTCTGGATTACTCAGTGCAGAACATTTTTTCTCTTTCAGGATTACATTCCATCACAGCAAGATATTCTGCTTGCCAGAAGGCCCACCAAAGGCATTCATGAGTACGACTTTGAAATTAAAAATGTTCCTTTTAAAATGGTTGATGTAGGTGGTCAAAGATCAGAAAGAAAACGTTGGTTTGAATGCTTCGACAGTGTAACATCAATACTTTTCCTTGTTTCCTCAAGTGAATTTGACCAGGTGCTTATGGAAGACCGACTGACCAATCGCCTTACAGAATCTCTGAACATTTTTGAAACAATCGTCAATAACCGGGTTTTCAGCAATGTCTCCATAATTCTCTTCTTGAACAAGACAGATTTGCTTGAGGAGAAAGTGCAAATTGTAAGCATCAAAGACTATTTCTTAGAGTTTGAAGGGGATCCCCACTGCTTAAGAGACGTCCAAAAATTCCTGGTGGAGTGTTTCCGTAACAAACGCCGGGACCAGCAGCAGAAGCCCTTGTACCACCACTTCACCACTGCTATCAACACGGAAAACATCCGCCTGGTTTTCCGTGACGTGAAGGATACTATTCTGCATGACAACCTCAAGCAGCTTATGCTACAGTGATGTACAAAAGACTTGCTGTTTTAATAGCTTTGTGTCTTTTTGATTGTTTTCTGTTTGTTTTGTTTTTTTTAAATAGTTTACAACAAGAATTAGAAAAATTTTGATTCTCTGTTTAAGTTCTTGGAACTCTTAGTCCTCCTTCTGCGGACTTGGGTTTGTGGCTGAAAGCTGCTGAATAAAACATCGCTAGTATCTGCTGAAGTTCAGGCTTTGATCTGTTTCGCTGTGGCTTCCATTGGAGCGAAGTTGTAATTTCCTGCCAAACCTCAAATGAGGTATATTTCAGGCTTTAAATTCTTCTACTTTCAAACTGAATTCTGTAGTGCCAAGTAGAGAAGGTGTCCTTAAATATTTGTAGGTATGAGGCTAAGAATATTCAGTTCTGAAACAAGTAAGACACCTTCTGCCTGCCCAACACAAAGCACCGACACCTGTGCCTGGCTTTATGACAGTCTGTTTTGAAGTAGCTGTTGGAAAAAAATTTGATCTGAGTAATGATATTCTATAGATTTACACAGATTTAGGCTTCATGTATCTTTAATTACTTATGTGCACAACATTTTTTTTTTTTTTTTTCAGTTTCTGTGGTTCTAGTGTTTTAAAGTTTACATGGAGATTTCTGGTGTGATGCTAATGAAAGTTCACAAATGGTACGGGGGAGCAAAAGGCAAGCAAGTGCCATGTATAGTATGTTGATCAAAGTTATGAGTGGAATATAATTTATCCTTTTCATATTTAAATATCATAATAAAAGTGCCGGATGTGTGAAACATTGTGGCCATAGCAGTAACTAAAAATTGCAAACAACTTAACAGAACTTTCCATAAAACACCCTTCCCAGAATGTTACGTGTTTTACTCTTAGACTTGTAAACCCTGTCTCAGATGATTTGTGGCCCTAGCTGTAGGAAATCATTGTTGTACCGTCACAAACATCTTTCTTTTGCTCTCCTATTTCCATCAACTCAGACAAGTGGCATTTATGAGATTTTTTTGTTCATTTGTGGCAATGGCAGTATTTTCATGTCAAACTATTCAAAACGGTATTATTTCAGATTCCTTTTCATCCTTGTTTATTACTAAAAACACAGTATACGCATGTTTATATCATTGTTTAAGAAATCCCAGCTTTATTGAGATACAGCTTGAATGTTAAGGATACTCACACCGAAATATAATTGCATCTGACCTCCCTCCACTTGTCAAATGAAAACGTACCCGAGGTAGCTTTGTGATTACAGCACACTCACGGCAAACTCTTCACAGTGGCTGGTTTGCGGGACTGAAAATGCTGGCTTGCAGGTTATGTGCAGTGTTAGAACTGGGTGAGAGAAACAGATGTACAAGGCTGAGGCGGTTTGGAAAGTCTGGCAGCTTTTCTCTTTTTCCTGAAAATTGTGATTAAGACTGTGATAGCCATCACTTTACTGTATAGCTCACCAGGTTCTCAGGTATTTTCTTGGCTAGAAAGTTCTTGAAAGATGGGTCAACATTATTGGGCACCCACGCTTTCTAAGACAGTGGCTCTTGGTCTGTCTTGCTGTCTAGTATGAGACTACGGCTTTTCAGTGAGCTAACCAGGGATTGCTCTTAACATGCCTGATTTTGCATTTGGAGTTTCATCCTTCATCAAGATGTCCGTAGTCACCTCCAGTGTTTCATGCTTTGGAGTACACAACCTCCAGAGCTGTCTCCCACGTGATAGTGCGGATGTTCATAGTATAGTTCATGCATGTTTAAATAGTTTTTCATCTAGTGCTTCTTGCCAAAAGAATACTTTGTTTAAACTCACAGAATTAGAATCATTTCAGTGCTAGCGAATATCTGAATGTGTGCACAGTAGCATTTGGGCTTTTTGGTAGAAAGTCTCAGTGCATTTAGCAAGTAGTTTTATGGAACAGCCAAACCATTAATTCCACGGAGACTGAGGTAAGTTCCCCGTGTAAAGAGGAAACTGAGTCTATTTGTGCTATATTTATGTTTAGTGATGTGAACCATAAATACTGCCTGACAAAGCAGAAATCACATTTCCCCGTGTTGACTAACACCAAGAAATGTTGAAACACTTAATAGATATGGTATTACTTTGGGCATTTGTGATTTTCTTTCCTGATGGTTGTGGTGTCTCTGCCAACATCCTCATATAGTAAAGTCTAGAATATACTTTGAGGCAGTAATTATTTTTAATGGCAGGCTTGATTAGATATAGAACTGTGAAGTTCAATCTGAATGCATTAGTCCACACTTTATATACTGCATTTTTAAACCATTTGATGGAGTCGTTATGTCTGTATCCTGAAAACCAAATCCTTTTGAAAGACCACTCTATGAAGGGGCAGGTGAAATTTAGTGAACAAAACGGAGAGGGCGCTCATAGTTTTTGCTATGCTCATTTTCTCCCGATCTCTAACAAAGTAATTGAAATGGCAAGTTCTTTCACCTGTTACATTTTCTGACTTTGTGATTATAATTTTGAATGAGATGTGCCTAATTCTCTTACATTCTGTTCTTAAATCTCAATGTCTTCTTGTTTAATTTGTAAGAAATGTCACAAGTGTCTTTGTTGACCTTGAAATTTATAATACACAGAGTTGCCTTACAAATCAAAGACCACCGCTAATTTGGGCCTTGATTTTATACAGGGAAAAGGCTGCATTAGCTGTTTTCTGAAGGTCCAACGAATTCAAGGTGTGCCTCTGCCACTTAAATATTATTTTTAATAACCTGAATTGTTGTCTGCCAAATAGTGTATTGATTTCACATCTTCATTTCAATCTTTTTTCTTAAAGATTTTATTTATTTTCAGAGGGGGAAAGGAAGGAGAGGGAGAGGGAGAGAAATATCAATGTGTGGTTGCTTCTCACGCACCCCACTGGGGACCTGGCCTGCAACCCAGGCATGTGCCCTGACTGGGAATTGAACCAGTGACTCTTTCTTTGGCAGGCTCGTGCTCAACCCACTGAGCTACACCAGCCAGGGCCTTCATTTCAATCTTATTATCTAGAAGGGGCACTTTATGGCTAGAGAGCAACCGCAACCCAAGAAGGCAACGTGGGGTGAAAAAAAGGTCATTTGTTTTTGTTCTGTCGTTGGCACGTACTGATATTTTACAAAGTGGGGAGCCTCTGGTACATCACTCAAGTGAGGTTGTTCCAGCAAATCTTTGTTCAGTTGGTGGCAGTGGTTGGTTTAGAGAAGGAAATAAGATGACCTTAATGCCAGAAATGAGTAGAAGTACTGATTCAGATTTGACCGAAATCATATGCCCTTTAATTTTTGTTAAAAGGAAGGAGTAAATCTCAACTGCAAATGTATACCCAAACACTTGTATTTATGCTTTTGATAAATGTCTTTTCAGCATTAGTGCACATACCCAATTATGCCTTATTTATATGAAGAAAAATCACCAAGTTATATTGTGAAACTCAAATCACTGTTTGAGAAGCCCTCAAATTGGTGCTTTCATTATATAATGACACATTTAGCCAAAACCCCAAACCAAGCCATTTGAAACAAGATTCTCTCCATTGCAATTTGTAGCAATGCTATTTCTGTTTATGTAATGAGAAGACTAAATATCAGTGTTAACTCAATTTGTTGTGTGACTCCATGGAATCGTGCCTGTAAAGTTCAGCCAAGTATTTGTAACAAACTCCCTAATAAATCTAGAGAAAGTCACTCTGTTATCTCTTAATGTCTTTCACTTTTACTTGAATCAGGACAGAAATGTTGCAAGTGTCTTCTTAGGCTGGAGATCTGACAGTGCTGGGTCCCTTTCCCTCTCCCGGCACATCAGCAGGTTAAGTTCCATCGGTCATAGGTGGTGTGCTCGTGTCGAGCTGCTTGACTAACAATACTGATTTTTTTTAATGTAGCACACAGGTTGGCTTTTTCTTCAGTAAACATAGGAAGGGAGGGATCGTATGTGACTGGGTATGTCTTTGTCTCCACGTTCCAAATAAAGGAAAAGATATAGTATATACCCGTTATTTTATGGTACAAGGCTAGGGCTTGATAAGTTTATACTAGAAATTGAATTGTAAGTCTACACCCCAAAATTTAAAACAAGTTGGACTTCATGGTTTTTCAGCAAGTTGATAACAGCCTTAGAAGGCTGGTGAGTGATTATTAACATCTTACAGTGTTCGTACTGCTAGCATTCTCATGTCTGTACTTGAATGTATAGTTAGCATGTAAATACATATGTTCATTCTTGTATCATCCAGGTCTAACCATTGGATTTCAAATGCCAGAGCTTATATGGACCAAAAAGCGCTAATGGTGGGGAGTAATTTCTGGGCTGATAGAGATTTTGCAACCTATCCAAATCTGTCAGTGATGAACATTTCCAGCTGTATTGAAGTATTCTAGGACTCACTATGCATACATTTTCAGTCAGTGCATGTCGTCAGAGAAACGTGCTACTTCCTTGGTATCTGATTTGGGTTTGTATTTAGAAAGCTCATTATATTTCTTGGTGTAGTAAGGGATGCGCTTGTCCTCAAGTATGCCTGTTTGATGGTACCAGGGGGGGAAAGCAGGGGGCGGGGGCGGGTAGAGCCGATTTTTGGGGAAACATGATGCAACAAAGCATATGCCTTTTTTTTTTTTTTTTTTTTTTTTTACCTCTTACTTGAAAGCAAAAGCGCAAAATGTTTTCACTGGCTTTCTGACCTAGACCGTGGGGAGAGCTCATTTACCACAAGAAGCCTTATCAAAAAGTATATTTTCTAACAACCTCATAGATACTGTACCTAACAAAACATGCTTTGTATTAGCTCTGTATAAAAGTATTTGTGGTTTAGGATTTTTTATACGTATATCTTTTTATAACTTTCCAGGAACTAAGCACATTATCTGATATTGTAAATTATTTTCTGTTGGCTTTACTTCAGGATTGGCAATAAATTATTTCTAAAGGAAGTGGAAAGAACAGTTTGGTTTTATGAGTTGCTAGTTCATTAAGGCTTTTTACTTTTGTACATATTTTGCAAAATTTTTGCCTCTTGCTATTATATTTGCTTTGTAAAGATTACTGACATTTAATAAACATTTTTAAAACTTCAGCACTATGATGTTATTTAAACTGTTTGCTAAATGTAACATGTGAAGCAGATGCTTAGTTTAAAATTTGAAAGCAAAAGTTTCATCTAGTGACTTAAAGCATGGAAGTCTCTAGTTTGGCGGATCTCCTAACAAAACTTTGCCTTAATATTTCCCTACAAACTTTTCCTTACAACAGTTGGGCTTGCGGACTTCATCCACGGAAGTGCATAGATTTTGAATATGTTTCGATGTGGAAATGGGGAAAAAAGAAACACTCTTTTTCTCTGCTCCTCTTAAAATTACTAAAATTGTATTATGGTGGTTCTGGATTCCTAGTTTGTCCACCCGCAGGAGTAGTGCTGTTCATGTCTATTGTGCTTGAAATGGTGTTTTAAAAACACCACTTACCACTCTTTATGTTCCAAGAAATTTGATTTTATATGACTTGAAGAAAAATTGCAAAAGGTACCAGAACTCCTCCCCTATTCTCCACTCCATTTGTAGTCGTTTCCCCAATTAACATCTCACATTCATATGGTACGTTGGTCATACTTCGTGAACCAACACTGATACCGTAATATTAACTAAAGCCCATCCTTTATTCAGATTTGTCTAGTTTTTCCTTAATGTCCCTCTTTGTTCCAGAACCCGTCCAGGGTAGCGTACTTCATTTAGCTGTCCTGTCTCCGAGCTCCTCTTGGCTATTACAGCTTCTCAGAATTTCCTCGTTTTGATGACCTTGGCAGTTTTGAGGAAGAGGAGTACTGATCAGGTACAGGCATATCTTTGCTGCACTTCACAGATGGCAGGCAAGACCCTCCACCAGCAAGAAGATGACACTCTTCGCTGTGGTGGTCTGGAACTGAACCCACAATACCCCTGAGGTTTGCCTGTATTTTTTAGATTATTTGTCTATTGGGATCTGTTTTGTTTTCCCTTTCTCATGACTAGACTGGGTTATGTGTTTGGGGACCACAGAGGTAAAGTACTATTCTCTTCAAATCCTATCAGGCACATACTCATCTTTTCCCTTTATAACTTCAGCTGAATTAGAATGTGTTAAATAAATTTTGGCATGTTTAGGATACCTTTTCTCAACTGGCATTTACTGAAAGCTGAACATGTACTTTTCTTCCCCCAAACAGAATGAAGGGCTTCCCCCCCCCCCCCCCCCCCGCAATGAGTTGCAAAGCAGGTGTGTTAAATGTTCAATGGCAAGGCCTGTACTCCAGACTGGCTGGCTTCTTGTCTTCCTGGCAAATAAAATTTCCTTTCCAAGGCCTCACCATTAACATTAAGTTTCACTGGTGGTCCCAAGAAAAACTGAGATGGGTAAGTTTGGACTTAGAAATATCTACAAATCTACAAATACCTGCAAATCTGCAGATTGGAACCAGGTTATTTAAGGCTTGCTTCTAGAGATTTAAGATCTTTTAAGTAGACTCGAAACTCTTGAGTATTTGAATTCCCAAAACAAACCAAGAAGTCTTATGTTAATGTTGGAACAAAAATATTCATCATTGTCAAAGGAATGACTAGAACCCAAACTATTGTCTAGTAAAGTGTTCATTTGGCACAATCACATCATGAACACGGATGAATTAACATCTCTCAGAATTACCTATTCCACTGCCCCCAAGCAGGTTGTTGGAAGAGAAAAGAGACTTTGGTCACAAGAATGCAGGAAGCTCAAAGAGTTTATCAGTTAAACTGGAGTTTTGTGTTGATGACGGGAAGTTCGGCATGTCCTCCTAGGGCAGTGTTTTAAAATACATACCGTGTATTTCCCTCAAATTAGCAGGGTACCCGGAATAGAGAACAGTTGGAGCGAGGCGAGTGTCACAACACCACAACTATATTGCACAGGCGTCCCCTTTTTCAAGTATGTCAAGACAAAAGGCTCAAACAAGTGTTCCATACAAACTAACAATTCCAGGCATCCATGTGTTTCACTAGCTGTGTTGGCCGCAAGAACACTGAGGGGAGTCGTATCCACAGTGAGTATTTATACTCAGTGGAGGAACGTGTTGATTTTTCTTTTCTCCATAAAGGTGTGAGATAGAAAACACAAGGAACGAAGTGCTTTTAAAAGTTGATCATCATTGTAACACTGCAGCTTTAGACTTAGGCTTGCTGTCAAGTGTTGAAGAGAGGGAACAAGTTTATGAGATGAAACTAAAGGCCAAACACTGCTGGCCTTGGGAGAGAAGTATGGGGTTTTTTTCTTTAAAAAATTCCTATTATTCTATGTGAAAAATTCCAGTTCTTATAAATTTTGTGGGATTTATTAAGCTAGCTGGTTTCATTGAAACTTTACTTTGAAAAAAAATCAGCACCCATGGTTCACCAGCTTTGAATAAATGAATGAAACCTTAAAAATAAATGAAATTATATTTAAAGCTAATACTGTACAGGCAGTCCTGGCATGTACGTGGCAGGTTCCAATTTGGAGAAAATTGCTATAAGCCATAAAAGATACAGAATGAGGACTGGATGCCCAACCTTACAGAATTAATGGGTATCCTCAGCTTAAGACACATTTAATGTACAGCATATTCCTTTCTAATGTGCCCATAACAGTGACTTTCAAACTCTGCACAACATTTTTTTTTACATTAGCAAAGCTATTTTATTTATTTATTTATTTATTTATTTATTTATTTATTTATTTTGGGGGGCTTTTGTCATCTTTTTATTTGACAATCTAGAGGAAAAGAGGTCAGTGCTCCTGACTAAATAGTCAGGTATGGCACATGTTTAAAAATGTTTGCGGCACACCTGTTGAAAATCACTGGTCTACAAAATAAACCCCAAACCCTTTCCTGTTGTCAAGGCCTTGACAATAGGAAAGGGTTTAATTTGGGTTTAATTTGTATAATCTGGAGCCACTCTACATTTGCTATCTCATAGCAGGACTCTTTCCCTTTGTTGGCCCCCAAGGCCTATCTTCTTGCCTTTGCTCACACCATTTCTCCTTCCTCTCTTCTTGCCTAAGCTTTGCCCAACCCTTAAGATTCAGCAGCTCAAGTCCATCTATGGCCCTGGCTTTCCAAACTCTCAGATTTTCTCCCCACTCTAAGCCCCGTAAGGGTACTTGATTTTCTGTACCAGTCACTTGGCCCTTCCTGTATGCTGCCTTGGGTTTCTTTTTTTTTTTTTTTTTTTTTTTATTGATTATGCCATTACAGTTGTTCTATTCCCCCCCTTCATTCCCCTCCACCCTGCACCCCCACCCCCACCATTCCCCCCCTTTAGTTTATGACCATGTGTCTCAAGTTCTTTAGATTCTATATTTCCCATACTATTCTTGCCCCCCTTATCTATTTTCTACCTACCATCTATGCTACTTATTTTCTGTACCTTCTCCCCCCTTCTCCTCCTCCCACTCCCCTGTTGCTAACCCTCCATGAGATCTTCATTTCTATGTTTCTGCTCCTGACCTAGCTGTTCTTTTAGTTTGCTTTTGTTTTAGGTGTGGTTCTTAATAACTGTGAGTTTGCTGTCCTTTCACTCTTCGTATTTTTTATCTTCTTTTTCTTAGATAAGTCCCTTTAACATTTCATATAATAAGGGCTTGGTGATAATGAACTCCTTAAATTTGATCTTATTTGAGAAGCACTTTATCTGTCCTTCCATTCTAAATGAAAGTTTTGCTGGATAGAGCAATCTTGGTTGTCGGTCTTTGGATTTCATGACTTGGAATACCTCTTTCCAGCCCCTTCTTGCCTGTAAGGTCTCTTTTGAGAAATCAGCTGACAGTCTGATGGGAACTCCTTTGTAGGTGACTGTATTGTTATCTCTTGCTGCTTCTAGGATTCTCTCCTTCGTTTTAATCTTGGCTAATATAATTATGATGTGCCTTGGTGTGTTTCTTCTTGGGTCCAACTTCTTTGGGACTCTCTGAGCTTCCTGGATTTCCTGGAAGTCTATTTCCTTTGCCAGATTGGGGAAGTTCTCCTTTATTATTTGTTCAAATAAGTTTTCCACTTGTGGCTGTTCCTCTTCCCCTTCTGGTACCCCTATAATTCGGATGTTGGAACATTTAAAGATGTCCTGGAGGTTCCTAAGTCTCTCCTCATTTTTTTGAATTCTTGTTTCTTCATCCTTTTCTGTTGGTCATTTTTTTCCTCCTTCTGATCCACTCCTTTGATTTGAGTCCCAGTTTCCTTTCCATTACTATTGGTTTCCTGTGTATTTCCATGCATTTCAATTAGTTTAGCCTTCATATGTTCCTCGAATTTGTGACTAAAATCAACCAATTCTGTGAGCATCCTGATGACCAGTGTTTTGAACTGTGCATCTGAAAGTTTTGCTATTTCTTTGTTGCTTAGAGTTATGAGCTCTGGGGCTTTGAGATCTTGAGCCATATTTGGTCTGTTTGTGCCTGTTAAGTATGAAGAGCGGAGCCTTAAATATTCACCAGGGCGGGGCCGCCCAGGTCGTGAGTTGTGACGCTGTATTTGGGGGCGGGATCAGAGCAGGGAAATGGTGGCCCCCTCTGCTGCTTACCTCCACAGGGGCCTGCTCGGTCAGTCTCACCACCCACTCCCTCGCTGGTCTATCTGCGCACGGATGCGGGACCACAGTCAACCTACCGCCCTGCGCCCTCACTGGGTCAGCTGGTTGCTCACTGGATCGCTCACTGGGTCTCTCACTGGGTCTGCCCGTTACAACCCCACGCCTGGGATCTGCACGCCTGAGCCCGTCTGACCGAGTTTTCCTGTGCAACCCCACTCCACCAGATGCTGGCTTCGCCCCTCTTACCGGTCAGGCTGAAGCATTCATTGTTATCAGACTTCCATAAAGTTCAATTTTCTGTGTTCTGGCTGTGTTTTCTGTTGCTAATATTTTATTGTCTCTAAACTTGGTTGTGTCAAACTCTGAACAACATTTAAGACACAGGGTGTCAACCTCCCTTTCCAACGAGCACTCCAAACAAATGACCCCCCCCCCAATACCTTTTCTCTCTGGCTTCTTGCCTCGGTAAATCCTACACATCCTGCGAGCCCTCCCGCCCCAT